AACCAAACCTTTTCCTTGCCTTTAGAATTTATTGCCAGACAGCTAATTGTGTTATTTAACACTCTTTATACTATTCTTATAATGCCATGCATTCATTTGAGTTCATTCTTCCCTCACTTCCATTTTCTGAGATAATATGTTCTATACATACCATATTATATACACACATATACATAAACATACACATACATGTATATACATACCATGTTAGTCTCTTTGAGGAGGTCACCTGCTCCTCCTCCTCCTCAGAATCATTTTTTTTTCAGAATTTCATTCTTGAGAGCTTTACATCTGTCAGACTGCAGAATTTCCTCTGACTATAAGACCATTGGATCCTATCTACATTTTCACTTAACCCTTTGAAAGGTGCTCTTCCAGAATCTAGGGTACATTTCAGACTAGGTCTTTCTTTGCTTTCTTTCATTGAGTGTGAATTCTATAATAGAGTGGTTACTTGTTTCCAAGGATTCCATTATTTCTTCAGCAAATGGCTTTTCCTTGTTGGCTAGATTCATGACCTTGGTATTTTCCATTGTTTTGTAAAGAATGGCATCATTCAGTTGTGTTATTCATTTCTTAGGCTTTTAATTTTTTGTTGTAGTTGTTTTGGCAGCAGAGAGGAGAGTAGCAAGAGATGTCTGAATAGTTGAATTCTCTCTCCCCAGCAATATCCACCATATCATAATTTCATGATACATTTTTAATGTTTTCTGAATTCCTTAGCTAATTTATCCTTCTTTTCAGACAGTCTATAATGCATCTCCACAAAATATCACTTCTGTTTCTTTCTCTGTTAATCCTTGCCTAAAGGGTCTCTACTATGTTTCCTCACTTCTGGTACCTGGATTTCCTCATATTAATATGCTTCTTCATATAAAATGCTATTTTTTTATTTGTATATTAATAATCAAATTTTAACCTTAACTGGACAACAAACTTTTGTGCATTCGATTTTAAATCTTGTATCCCTAATCCTTTGGGGATACATTACCAGGTTAAATAATACGTATGTGATGGTATTTGGACAGTTTGATGCTGCAATGATTCATCTTAAATTTATTATTTTATATTCATGTATTTATCAAATTATTTATTTCACTTATTTTAAATTGCTTTTGGTCTATCTTTGATACATAAACTTTATTTTCAATAGTATGATATAGGATATTTTAATGGTTGACATGGGCATTTCATTAATTGCTTTAAAGAGTTGGTAAACCTTGCTTCTGCCTCTTTCATTCACCAAGGATTTATTGTTGAAGACATTATTTACAAAATGCTCTGCTAGATGCTGAGAGAATACAGAGAAGCAGCAGCTGTGGTCCTCAGCATATCATGGGGTGAGCACATCTGTTGCAGCCTTCAGTGATCTCCTGAATTGACCTCTTCCATAGGGACTGATGGCATGCGCAAGTTTTGAAGAGGCAGAGATCCCAGAGAAGATGCCATACTTATTTCCCTTGCCCTGCCTTCTCATTCATGCCTGGTTCCTTGACTTGTGCCTGTCTCTCCCCTGACTCCTGAAGCCTGCCTCATTTATTCATTGTGGAGAACGAATTCCAAGCTTCCTAGTATTTGACCCTGGATCCTGTTCTTCTCTTTGGTTGGCAAGAAAAAAAAGTGGATCTTAGATTCACAGAGTCCCAATTGGAAATGGTCTCAGAGCTCATGACATCACCACCGCCATCATCAAAGAACTTTATATGCATTAGCATATTCAGTCACCCGGGATAAACTGTGCCCTAATTCTGTACAACATGGGGTCCTCCATCTCCATCTACAGATGGAGGAACCCTCAAGGGTGTTAGAACTAACTACCTCATTTGGCAGTATTCTTCTTTTGGACTGCCAAAGGAACTTTGTAGTACATAGGAACTAGATGTATGTCAACACTTGTACCACTAAGGCGTGTTTTTGCTGCCACTCACATGATGGTTCTTTTCTTCTTTTCCATTTTCTTTTTCTTACCTTCCTCTTCTCTTTTTTTTCCTGACCAAAAAAAAGATGGCTAAGAACCCCTGGCATGGCTCAAAATTTCTGAATTGGAACCTAGTGAGTTAAGTCCTTTCTTTCTCTGCATCAGAAAAAACAGTGAATCCTGAAAAGAGGAGGTTATATTGGGGCCCAGGATTTGGTTGTTCCTAGGGATGCTTTTGTTTTAATTCCTCATGATATTTTTAATGCTCCTAACTATGTTCATGTGCCACGGTTTCCTCATATGCCTCTCTTATTGTTTAGCATTTTGATTTAAAATCTTTCTTCATATTTTTTCCCAATATATCTGCTTTAGGGTACAAAGGTGATGAACATATTTCAAATAATAATTTGCTATATAATCATTACTACCACTCTCATGTATTTGCCCATAAATTGCTAGATTTCAGCTAAAGGCATCATTTGAAAGATATAGAGATCAGAATATCTAGACAATTGTTCTATCTCCTAAATATTAATTGAATCTATGAAAAAAAGGAGTAGACATAAAAGGAAACACCTTTCTTTGATGTTAGATATTTGAAGAATGCTTTTGCCATGCATTTCCAAAGGCTAAGGTGGAAAGATTGTGCCTCAGGAGGCTAATTATGGCTTGTGGAGAGCTTCTGAAATAGATCCTGACTGCTTACTTTTCATCTGGGGTGACTATATGAGTACTGTTGTATCCCTCTGCAGGGACAATGGAACTGGATCTCAATTATTGCAACTATAGTGAGTATGAAGAAGCTAGCCTATTACCTGGTGAAACTTAATTCAAAAACAAAAAAAGAAGCTAAGACCAGGCAATTTGTAGCTACATGTGCTATGGGTAGTACTTGAATTGAAAAAAAAAATATTAATTCATGGGGTCATTCATTTTAGGACAGTGATGGTTTTTAAGATGTGCTAGATTCTATAAGGAATAGTCCACAAGTTTTAACCATTCCATAGTGTTTAATACAAGACTAAACAGTGGCATCAGACTCAAATAGAAAGAGGGCCACTAATCTATATATAAGGATACCCATGGGCTGCACATTAGTTTAGCTTTAAAATGTAATGTTATTTATATTTTATTGTATTTTTATTTATTTTGTTAAGTATTTTCCAATTACATTTTAATTACATTGGTTCAATGGTACTCAGAATGTTATGGGCTGCATTCAGCCCATGAGCCATTTATTTCACACCTCTCTTGTAAAACATGTGTTTTAGTTCCAAATCATCATCATCATCATCGTCATCAATCATCATTAATTTATGGGTTGCTTCTTTCATCTCCAAGTAGAAGGTAGAGCAGATCCTGGTTAATTGAGAATTTTGGTTAATTGGAATTTTACCACTTTATTGTTTCTGTTAAATCTAGGCTTTCTAGGCTTACTATATATTAGTTCTCTTCCCACACCAAGATCCAGCCAAACTGGCCTTCTTACTCTATGCTTACACATGCGATTCTGTTCCATGACTCCATACCTTTGTATAGGCTTCCTCCAATTACTTCCTCTTCACCCTTGCCCCTTAGAATACCCAGGTTCCCTTAAAGCTCAGGTCAAATGTCTCTTCCTATGAGGCCTTTCCTGATCCCTTCCAACTGCTAGTGTCTTGCTTGAAATTGTCTTGTTTGTATATAAACATACCATATTTGTATACGGAATGATAACAGCTAACATTCATGTTGTTGTTTGTACTTTGTTCTCGATAAAGACTAATGGCACCATAAGGGTGCCTTCTGAACTTTTAGAGGTGCAAAATGCTTCTAAGCTCCTTATTTCTCACAACACTGTGAGATAATATGGTATCATTATTTCCATTTTAATTATGATGAAACTGAGTCTCAGAGACTTTCAGTGACTTGGCCAGGGTCATACAACTAGTAAGTGTCATAGGCAGAATTTGAATTCTGGTCTTCCTGACTCCAAATCTAGAGCTCTATATACTGCACCACTTATCATGCATGTCAACCAACAATCTGTAAGCCCCCGGAAGGCAGGGACTCTAATTTTTGTCTTTGGAGCCTGTACTAGCTAATAATAGCTAACATTTATATAGTAGTTATTATGTGCCAGGCACTGTGCTAAGAGCTTTACAATGCTTATCTCATTTGATTCTCAGAGAAACTCTGGGAAGTAGATGCTATTGTTATTATTATTCCCATTTTACAGATGAGGAAACTGAGACAATTAGGATTTGTAATTTGCCCAGGTTCACAAAACTATCCATTTTCCATGAATTTAATAGAAAGTTCCCATTAATGCCACCTCTTTGGAAGCCCCTGAAAATAGAAACCAAATGTAGGAAAAACTTCCCCTGGATTGGTGTCATGCAAAGGCCCTGTACTTTGATTAATAGGTATTATTCATATTATTTCCTGACAAATATTACTCTAAACTTCCTCTGACCCCTTTGTAAAACTCATAAATCTCTAACAACAGAGATTTGATTTTATTTTGTTTCACTGTAAAATGCTAAATAGAGATCAGCTTCTAGAAGGGAAAATGATGCCAGAGATGCTGAGCTTTGCTCTGAATGGAAATGGGAAGCTTATAATACTTTGTCACTTGTTGTGCTCTGTCATCAGAGGGTATGACCTACTTCTGTCTTCATTCCCTTGTCAACCTTTGTACGTAGGGGGAGAAAAGAGCACAATTTATTGAATTAATTAAAATTCGTCTTTTTTCTACCATGTGCCAACAGCATAAACTTCTTTATTAAATTTGATGCTAAAATTTTTCATCATTTCTGTTATTTAAAACCCTTTCCCCTTGTTTCATAAGATCCTTGACATTTACACTTGAAAATCTGTCAAAACTGATATTTGCAACACAAAGAGAAACCTCACCTATTTTATTAATCCCTAGAACATCTTCTTCTTTCCTTGGCTACACCAGAAGCAACTAATGAGCACTTGAAAAGACAGATGCTCTCTCTGAAGAAAAAAAATGGGAAAATCACAATAAAAGTAAATTTTTGTCTCCTTAAAGTAGCATTTATGAATACTCAGTGAGGTTTTGGTTCTTTACAGGATTCTCATTGAAACAACGAAAAGTCAGAAGATATAAAAATAAACTACTTTGCCCAAGAGAATTTTGCTGGCTCACGTAGAATAAGTATTGTGGGGAAAAAATGCCAGAGCAGCCAAAGGATCTCATCAAATAAAAAAGTTGCAGAGGAAATTAGTGGCTGGAGGTTAGTAACCATTTTTATGTTTTATTCCTTTTGACTACCCTTATATTTTAAGAGGTGATAACAATAGCTAGCATTTATATAGTGCTTTACAAATATTATCTCATTAAATCCTCACACTGACCCTGGGAAGTAGGTGCTGTTATTATCCCTATTTTACACACAGGAAAACTGAGGCAGACAGAGTTTAAGTGGCTTGCCCAGAGTCACATAGCTAGTAAGCGTCTGAAGCTGAATTTGAACTCAGGTCTTTCTGACTCCAAGTTCAGTGCTTAATTGGAGTAATTTCTGGAATTTCTGTTAAGAATCCCAGCTACTGTAGTGGCAATTTTTGCACAAAACTAATCACTGAAGTTTATGGGAAGAGCTGGGAAATATACATTGTTTAGAGAAAAGCTGCATGAAGAAAAACTGACATGGTTGATTCAGGCTAGGGTGGTGGAAGGGAATATTGAAGACCTGCAGAACAAGGTGTGAAAAGGAACCGAGGTAAAAGGGGAAATAAGTTCAGAGGATGTTGAATAGCGTACAATTTAAGAGAAGTAAAAATTTTGTGAAGAAGAATGGAAGATTAAGGTCAGGTTGGAGAGGGCCTTGAATGTCAGGCTAAAGTGTTCAGACTCTATTGGGCAAGTAGTAGGAAACCAGTAAAGTTTTTTTTTAGTAAGGGGTTGTCATAATTAGAGCTACTCTGGCAGCTTTGTGTAAGACAGTTTGGAGTGAGAGAAAATTTCATGAGAGAAACCAATTATGAGTCCTTTTAACATAGTTCAAGAGAGAAGATGATGAGGTCCTGAACTAGATTATTATGGTGGGTATAGGAAGGAGAGGACTGATATAAAAAGTGTTGTGAAGAAAGGAACTTGTCAACTGACTGAACTGGGCAGTAGGGATGAGAAAGAGGGGAGATTCAAAGATGATTCTGAGTTATTCCAGCCTGCATTCTCAGAATTGCTGAAGTTAATTAGAATGACTGAAGAGTTACATACAAGGTCATATAGATAGACGTGGCTCCAGATTTCTCAGAGCTTTGTTTTACCAGGTGCCATCACTCTGTGTTTTCAGCATACCTTCGGTGTGGCCAGACATTTGGGCTGACATGAAAGATAAACACTAAGGTTAACACAGCAGGAAGTAAAAACAGAAGTGGATGAAAAAGGTGCACGGCGACTGTGGTGGAGATGTATGTTGTCACAACCTATCCAGACTTAAAGCCGTATAGCACATATTGCCCAACTTTTAAACAGGTGGTTTTGTTTCCATCTCTTGCAAGAAAAGATCTTGGACTCAATGGGACAACGTAGTACTGGTTACAGTGCCCTTTGTGCGGGATGCTGCAACTGCAACAGCGTAGAGTTCACTGGTCCAGAGGTAAGATGTGCTGCTGGTCCAAGAACTGAGGCCCAGCAATTGGTGTAATCATCTCATTGAAACATCCTATACCTTGTTCTCTAGCTTTCTGCTCTGGGGAATAAGGAAGGAAGTGCTGGTGAGCAGGAGGAAGGAACACATAGCACTACTTACTTGGAAGTTAGGAGATGGAGGCATGAGAAAAGGTGTCTTGGGATTGTTAATGCATTTGATACATTTTGAACTATTTCTTGCTTAATGTTTTCTTGATATAATGACTTTTATTTGAAGAAAATAATTTTTATTCTCCCTGTGATTAGAGATTATATGATTAAATCTTGATTAGTTTAAAGAAGGGCATTATCAGCAGTTTGAGGCTCATGAGCGTTATTGTGAGTGGTTTTGAGGCCAAGGCTGAGAGCAATTTGGGGGCACTCTTCCATGAATTTTCAGTTTGTGCCTCTTCTAGGAATAACAAATTCCAGAAGTATTCTACTCTTTTTTTTTTTATAAAGTACTATCTTTTATTATTTATTTAAAGTTATCTTTCAAACTTTGAAGGGTGTCCTAGTTCAATTATTCCAAAACTTAAGGAAAAAGGACTGAGTTCCAGAGCTTTTGGAATAGCAATGCTTGCAGCCCTGTACCCTCAGGCATCATCCTGGGAAGCATCCTCTATGGAAATGAACCCAGCAACTGCTCTTGAAGCTGACCCATCACAGTCATTGAAGACCAAAGGAAAGTTCTTGGCACTGGCAAATGGTTCAACATCAGAAATTGATGTGATTTTTATCAGTGGAAATGCTACGAAAGAAGAAGCATTACCATCTGCTTAGCAGCCATGTTCTAAGAATCATGGGACCTTTCCATCTAATTTGCAGCTGAAATCTTCCATATTTGTTATCTTCCTTATAAGAGTGTGAGTTCCTTAACAGCAAGGAGTTTTCTATTTGTACATTCTGCTTATCTCAGAGCTTTATAGACAGTAAGAACTTAATAAATGCTTTACTCTTTCATTTGTTGATTGAAGTTTCTGGTTATTCTAGAGTTTGTCCCAATTTTTATTCTTGTTCACATCCACTCTTAGCCACCTTTCTAGACTGGAGAACCCTGGCCTTTTGAGTCTGCTCTTCAGATGGCCTAACATGCTCAGAGAGTGGTTGACAACAAGATAACTGATAATCTCTCTGCCATAATTTGGTGAGGTGATCATAAAAAGCAAGCAAATTGAACCCTTTATGGACACTTGATCACTGCTTCTAATGATACGTCACAGATAAGAACTTGCGAGCAGGAGCCACAGCAGTTAGCCTGGCTTAGAAAGTAACCCTCAGAGGTAAGGAGCACCGTCTGGAGCCAAGGCTTTAGCACATAGTAAATCTCCTAGATAAAGCTGGAAATATTGCTCAAGCCATGCAAAGAACTTTCTTAGCTATAAACTTTACTTTTGAAGAAAGAGAACTATTATATAACCATTATTATTATTATTTTAGCCACAACTGTGCACATGGATTGATTGCTGTCAAAGATGTCAAGATGATTCTCAGATGTGAAGGATATATTGCCATACTAAACAAGGACTGAAGAGATTAGTGAAGGAAAGAGATGGGGTACAGGATAGCTATCTTCAAGTAGAAGGGATGTAATGTGGGAAAAGGATGAGACGTGTTCTACTCAGCCTCCAAGTGACATACCTAAGTACAATGGGTGGGAGTCACCATGGTCCTGCTCAACATAAGGAAGAACTTCCTAACCCTTAAAGCTAAACAAAATGTCAGTTTCTGAAAGCTGCCATGTATTCTTTCTCATTTGAGTTCTCAAGCAAAGCCTTGGCCACTTGGGAATGCTGCTGAGGTTCTCAATCAGATATAGATTGGCCCAGATTTCTGCTGAGAGCCTGTAAAAAAATGACATGGTTTGACACATAATTAGAATGCCTTACATTTGCATAGCACTAGAGATTTAAAACACTTCCAGGCATACAACCTCATTAGATGTTCTCCCAACCCCAACTTTTAGAAGTTCTGGCTTCCTTTAAGATTTAGACCAAGGGCTACCTCTTCCAGGTGGCCTTTTCTGGACTTGCCTCACCCTCTCAAAGGTGAGTTCCTGTGTTTTAGATGAGATATGTAAAGAAGGCCAAATAAGTATCAAGCAGATCTAGAATAGACATGAATATAATTCCCAGCTAGACTATTTACTGCCTTTGTGATAGGAGGCAAATAGTTTCTCCCAGGACCTTAGTTTCATCTTCTATAAAATAAAGGGGTTAGGCTGAGCTGATCTTTTCCAACTTTCATTCTCATTAGCCTATCACAATGTTACTATTATCTGGGTGAAAAGAAATTTCTCATATTTGGCCATGCCTATGTCATTTTTCATCTTCTAAATGAGTAGGATTATATAAATAAGCTAATTCCATATTTTAATTTCATATTCACTCACATTGAGTAATAAGAATAACACCTCCATTTGTGTAGTTCTTTGTGATCACAAAAATTTCCCTTGTTTGATTCTCATTGATGTCCCACTAAGGGTGTGTGTGTTATAAGTGTGGGGATTCAAATCTTGTTTGACACACTGGCAGTGCAATTCCCCACAAATCATTTGACCTCTTAGTGATCTAGACAACTCTGTAAGACAGTAAGTTGAAGCAAAGGTATTAACCTGTATTAGTGGAGGTTCCTTAATGGAAGTTCTTAATATCAATGAAATCACTCTTCTAGTTTCTATCCCTACATGCAGATAATAAAACTCAGACTCAGAGTAGTAAAGCAAATCAAGAAAGGTCATAGAGAGCTGGGGTTTTGAATCTAAATCTTCTGACTCAAAATACAGGTCTCTCAAAGAAGGAAGTACCAGGGTTTAAGGTTGCTTTAAGAATAAAAAAAAATCACTCAGCATTTACTCAAAACAAGCAATTTTCCTTCCTTCCTTCCTTCCTTCCTTCCTTCCTTCCTTCCTTCCTTCCTTCCTTCCTTCCTTCCTCCCTTCCTCCCTTCCTCCCTCCCTTCCTCCCTCCCTCCCTCCCTTCCTCCCTTCCTCCCTTCCTCCCTCCCTTCCTTCCTTCCTTCCTCCCTCTCTCCCTTCCTTTCTTCTTCCCTTTCTTTCTTCTTTTCTCTTCCTTCCCTCTCTCTCTCTGTGTCTCTCTGTCTCTGTGTTTCTGTCTGTGTCTCTGTGTCTCTGTCATTCTGTGTGTGTGTGTGTGTGTGTGTGTGTGTCTCTCTCTCTCTCTCTCTCTCTCTCTCTCTTTCTCTCCCTCCCCCAAGCTGAAAATGTAGTTGACTCTCATGGGACTGGCTATTTCTAATTGTCATAAAAGCTTTGATCCAGTCCACTTCTGAATGGGACTGGTTTAGGCCTTGTCAGGCCTTGTACCACTCCATCTCAGGGACTCACTATATAGCTGCCAGACATTGTTGACACTTGATCAGCTGTAGTCCAACCACAACTCAGAACTCTTGAACTCCAGAGGTCTATCAGCCTTCACCTTGCCTATAGCATGTACTATGCCATAACTGGCTCAAAAAATATTCTCTTGAAATAGTTTGTCAAAACAAAATTCTTAAAGTAGAAAAAAAGTTTGAAAAACTGAAGTAGTTTTCTACTTCTGAGATAAATGAGATCAGATCCAATTGAATGACTGCATTCATCCCTTTTCATTATGCATCTAATTAATTGCCATTTTGGTTGAAAAACCTCATAACCCTATTAGGCCCTATTTTAGGAGCAGAGTGATGTTTTGGTTGTATATTACTAAGGTGAGAGCCACTTTGAATAATAAGGGGGATTAAGCAATTGGCAGTGAGTTAGTGAGATACTTCTTGGGGCAAATAATTGTGTCCTCTTTACATATTGCTTTTCTGCTGCCCCAATCCCATGACTTGCATTTAGCTAAAAGACTATAGACATTGCCCCTAATTTGCAAAGAAATAATTGAAAATGGTTTTAAATCTAGAAACCCAATTGAATGGAATGAAAAGGTCTTGAGTTACATTACTCAGGTATATTGATTTATGTGTTTGCAGAACAAGATGGTTGCCATGGAATCTATTTAGTCTTTCTGAGAAAATAGTGTTGACTTTATCTATACAAAGACAGGTAAGGAAAATGTTTGTGAATCCTTTTTTTTTGCTGCAGATGAAATCATCAAAGCTCAATAGGAAAATGATGCTAATCTTGTTTTTTTTTTTCTAATTTTTCTTCCATAGGATGAAAGAATCATAGATTTAGAACTGCAAATTATCTGTATTTTGATGTTATATAGCCTAACCCTTCCCTGCCCCCTCATTTTTCAGGTGAGGAAACTGAGAATCAGATAAGAGAAATGACTTGCCCAAGTCAAACCTTTTGTAATTTACAGAGCCAAAATTTGAGCTCAAGACCTAATTCCAAATTCTGGAGCTTTTTCCATTATTTGGTATTCTTGCGTGTTTCCTTATTAAATGTTTTAAATTGCTGATTTAAAAAAAATGCTTGTTTAGAGAAATCATTGCATTCAGTCAGGGATGCACAGAAGAGGGGATGTTTGAAGACAGAATTGTTTACAGGCTTACTTTGCCTTATGCGGGCGATACAGTTTTAAGCAATTGGTTAAAAATGGGAATTTGGGCAGTGTTGTACCATTTAAAATTTTTTTTAAACCTGTGATCTCACCTGTATGGCTAACTTTAAGTATAGAAACTCCATTTACCCCCATTAGTTTAGCAACTTTTCTATACTTACAATCTTAAAGAGTTGTGGGGAGGTGATAAAAGATTAGTTGAGATGCTCCTTCTCCCACAACTGCCATATGTCAGATGTAGGACTACAACTCAGGTCTTCCTGAGATGACCAGCCACATGACTGACCTTGACTCTTTGGGCTGTTTTAAGTACACTTTCGAGTAATGCTTGGAACTCTGATTCTTAAGGTCAAGAGGGTGAATTCTACTGTATGAGACAAAAGTTGTCATTCAGTATAAAGAAAGTGGTGTGTTTATTTATTTTCAATTCAATCAACACCTGTAACTTCATCCAAACGTCACATCACTGTTGCCCTAGTTTGCATTCATGAGATTCATTATTGGCCTGAATAAAACATTATGTCAGTGTTTAATAAATGTTATATAACATTGAACCTTTATGTAACTTACACAGTTCAACTCTTTCCTCCCCTTTAGCTCTATTCAATTCAACAAACATTTACCAAATTATATTCAAGGTTGCATTTGCATTAATATTCATCAATGATTTTGGTCTCTGGTTTTATTTCTTTGCCCTATACTTGCCCAGTTCAAGTATTAAGATTAGATTTGTATCATAAAAGGAGTTTGGTAGCATGTTTTCTTTCTCAATTAAAAAAATGATAATTTGTGGAGTACAGGTATTAATTGTTCTTTCAAAATGTGATAGAGTTCACCTATAAATCCATGTGGCCATGGGATTCTTTTCTTTGTTAGTTCCTTTACAACTAGTTCTATTCATTTTTCTGAAACTGTATTGTTTAAGATCTCAACTGCATGTTCTATTAATTGTGGCATTTATTTTTTAATAGATATTTCTCTGTTTCTTTGAATTCTGTTTTTCTTGTATGTAATTGGGGCCAATTCTTGTAAAGAAGACATCAGTTGACCTTCTAGGTTATAGCGTATTTGCTCTCTCTTATCACAGGGACTCGTACTTAGAAGGTTTTGAGCTTATCAGATAAATTTCAGGAAGGTTATCGACATCTCAATTCTAGAGACTCTCCCAAGTTACAGAAAATCCAAACTCCCCACAGAGGGCACACACTGCTTGGATTTTTATTGTGCTAAACCAAGACATGTTGATTCTTTTTATTTTTTTTTTTATTTTTATCATTTGTAGAGCTGTTGTGGAGAGCAAATGTGAGAGGAGGTAGAGAGAGTTGTGGGTAGTAGAAATTGGCAGGAGTTCCAGGAAGGCAGGGAAGCCATTATGTCTAATGCTCATCTATGATTTCTCTAATTCTTTGAACATGTAGTTGAAACTGCTGAGAGAATTTAGGGAGAGTGAATGACAAGACTTGGACACTGGCCCAAACTGTAGGCTTGGGAAGTAAAGAAGTCTTGCTGTATTTATCAGCGTCTCCAGCTCATTCGGGGGCCAAAGCATGATAGCACATCTGTTCAGTCTTATCAAAGTTCTGACACCATTCCATAGAATCCTTGGCTCTTAAAGATATCTCCCAGCTCAACTTGGCTTAGCTCATAGAGGTAGAAAGGATCACAGATCTAGGTAGTAAAACCTGAGGCTGTATGTCAAAAGACAGATGCTTTATGGTTAGTGGGAAATGAACATTTGTAGTGAAGTTAAGGCCAGAAAATAGCCAAATAATTAAAAGTGAGCAGATCATTTGGCAAATCATCGTTCTATATGTTATTTGGACCCTTGCAGCAACATTTATGTTGTCCTAAGAGATTGTTTCAGTGCTACTTTGGAAACCTCCAAACTCACTTTGAAAGTCGTCTTTGCCACTTGTACTTTGTAATAGATTATCAATTCAATCTTCTCCTTCATGCTATTATATATTATTTCCCTTTGAGGTATAGAAATATTCATGAGGAGTTTAAAAAGGCAAAGCTCAGGAGCAGCATATCCCATGTGTCTTAAAGTGTTCCAATTCTACTTATGAAACCCTGTAATGCAATAGCATATTGAAAACCTTCTCAAAAAAAACAAACAACCTTTAATGCTTATCCAGCAGCAGGTTTTTTTTTTTAAATTGTATTTGTACATTTCTAATAAGAAAAGGCTTTCTGTGGTACTGAGTCATTTGCTGACACTGAAATAGAATTGGAATCGAAGGAGATGTCCCCCTCTAGCCTGGTAAGTTTCTCCTTTTGAGCAGCTGCCTGATGTCAGGCTAAAGTGAGGCCTTGGGGATTGTGTCAGGATGGGGTTGGTTAGTTGACACACAAAGTATTTAAGACATTTCTATACTTGACTATGCCTTTTCTGCCACAGCAAACTATTAAAATGTCAGAACAAATTAGTTAACTATTCTCCCCTAGCGATGAATAAACACAGAAATGTAATAAGAAACAAGAAGTCAGAGTACCTCAAATTCAAAAGGGACAAAATTTAGCTTAAGTTTCTCCTAAAACCTGTTCCTCCTTCTCCTGACTTCGTTAGGTATGCCAGCAGCACCACCATTTACTCAGTTTACCAAAGTTCAAAACCTTAATATTATTTGTGATTCTTTGTTTTCTCCTACCTTGCATATCCAATTAGTAACCAAAGTTTACAGAATACGTATTTGTGCTATCTCTTAAAGTGGTTCCTTACTCTATTCCCACTGCTACCACCTTAATTCAGTCCTATTCCAAAAGCAGCTCTGCTCAAGGCTCCTGACTTCCATTCTTTCTCCCTTTCATTCATATTTCTGTTATCCGTGCAATCTTCCTTACACATAGACATAGAAATATCTTCTATTTGCTCAGAACACTTCATGGGTTATCAGTTGACTACTAAGTAAAGTTGGATTTAATTTAATTCTATTTAAAAAATACATTAAGTGCATGTTAGGTATAAAACCTTTTGATAGGGGCTAGTTGAGATACAATGCTTAGAGAAGATTTGCCTTCCTAGGGCTTAGAGCTCAAAATCTTTTATATGATATTAAGGAGGCAGCTAAGTTATATAGTAGGTAGAGTAATGAACTTGGAGTCAGGAAGATCTAAGATTGAAGACTACTTCAGATGCTCACTAGCTTTAAACTGGGCAAGTCGTCCCCTGTCTTAGCCTCAATTTCCTCATCTGTAAAATGAGGACAATAATAGTATCCACTTTCCTGGGCTGATGTGAGGATCAAATGAGATCATCTATATCACGTGCTTTTCAAACCTCAGAGCACAATAGAAATGTCAGATATTATCATTGCTGTTGTTAGTTCATCCTCTCCATAATCTTACATCATCCTATTTCTCCATCTCTTATTTCTGAAGCTCTTCTTTGTATTGCCAGATAATTTAGTATAGATTCACAGTTTTTCCTCTTTTAAGTCCAGGGCAGTTCTCATGGGTTTACTTTTGTCCATTCTCTCACCCCACCCTCATTTCAGGGAGTTAGCTCTGTTGAATATTCATTGAATTCAATAAGCTCAAAACCTCCAGACTAAAGAAGATCCCCCCCTCCCTCCTTACCTCTGAGCAGAGGCTAGCCTCTCTGCTCTGTACTCAACTCTGACAAAATATCAGCTAGCCACTGCATTTCTTTTTCTTGACCATTTTTCTATGGCAAATACTTGCTCAGAATATAATAAAAGCCCACTCATTTCTATCTGGAGATAAAGCTCAATATAAAGATCTGAAATAGCAAAGAAACAAAGTTTAAGAAGAATATAAGAAACTTCCAAAGGGTAAATGATGCTGATTTCTTCCATGATGATGAGGTGGGGAGGGGTGATTAGGCAGGGATGTATAGAGTATATAAATTCACCAGATTCCAGAAGCACTACAAAGCTGATGCATTCAGGCAAAGCCCAAGTTCTGTCCAGGCAGATCAGTCATTAAGCATAACACTGAGCCAGAGAAGGCTCTGACTAATTCAACTGATCTTATAGTTAACCTTTGGGTAGCAGTTTCTTTGCTCAAAATTGGATCTCCATTGCTGGGAAATGTTTGGACCCCTGAGCCCCTCTCCACAGAACCCCAAAGTTCCCAGGCTCTCATCTTCCATGATCCTTCAGTCTCTCCTTCCAGATAGGAAAACATAGTTTCCAGAAGTCTCCATTGCTGATACAGGGCTATATTTTATGTGGTAGGGGCATCATGTATAGAGTATAGAAAGATCACCAGCCTTACAAGCAGGAACACCTGAATTTAAGGTCTATGTCTGACACGTAGCATTTTGCTTGCTCATCTTTGATGTATTGACTGTGTGTAAGATGAATATTTAAAGGGATCTGTGATGTAATTTATATGGATACTCCCTCTATCAGTGCAGACCACAAACTCCTCAAGCCTCCTTACGTTGCATTATTCTCTCCCAGGTACCTCTAGAAATGCTCTGTGGCTCATCCACTTATTCAGTGCTCTGAAGCTTTCCTGCAGTTCCTTTTAATGTCTTGAGGGTATAAA